TGTGGTGTTTGTTTTCTATGCTTAAGGAGACAACATTGTTTTGTAATACAGTAATTTTAAAAATGATTGTCTTCCCATGAGTCCCAGAAAACACTTGAAGCTGGCAGCAATTTACATTAAGAATAGCACATTTCATGTCAAGCTGCATTAGTTCATGCTGTGCACAGTTTGAAACATTCAGAGGTTTATTGTGACAACAAGAGCTTTGCAACCACTGACAACCCCTTGCCAAGAAGGCATTCTGAGTTTTGCCTCAGTGCTTGTCAAGGAGAAAAACACTCAGATTTAATTGTTTCAGTAACATATATGTCATCTTTGTCTGGTGAATGGGATTTTCTTTCCTGAACATTACTGCAACACCGATAAACACATTTCATTATATATCAATAAGCATGTTTACATGTAGGTGTATTTTTATTTAATTTTGGTTTATTTTTAATTTAAATGTTTAAACTAATCTTTCATATCCATTTTTTGTTTACTATTTTCATATATGTGTATATATATATATATATATATATATATATATATATATAATCATTTTTTTTTTGTGATTTTTTTTGTAATACTGGGAGAAACCACAATAGATTGTGTATTTTGTTTTTTTGAGAGAACTGCAGAAAGTGTTTATTTTTAGACTCCTTGATCCCTGAAAGATTGCTGTGAGAAATATAGTATAGTGTAAAAGTATAAAATAATGAACTTGACGGATATATTGGTTTACTTTATAAACAAAACTTTTTTTATATGTTATCATTTGTTGATAATTCATGCGTAAAAGCAAACCTATTCTGCTGTAAAGTTAGGTAAACCAACATTGCTGTCAGATATTTGATATATTTGATATGAAACATTTCTGTTAATTGCTCATCCTCAGTCTTTACCCTTTTCCTTTTCCCCTCTGGAGCAATTTTTCTATTTTCATGCACGTGTTAAAATTGTTAAAATCTTCATTTTTTGCTCTAAAATTACTTAAATGCTCTAGAACTTACATATTTTCTGAATGCAGAGACCCTGCAGAATAAAACATCGTAGTTGCAATTTTTTTTATAATGTGTCGTATTTGCACTGTATATCAAATCCATATTTCAGGGAAAAAAATACACTAAAATTAATTTTAGTGCACACAAAAATGTAATCCCCAATCCTTTGTACAAACTAAGATTAGTAATTGTTGAGTAAATAGATACCAAATACGTCAAGTCCTAAAACTGCCTGTGTATGGTGCTAAAACACTGTAACACTACATAAATATTTGTGAAGAGCAATAGGTATGAAAAGGTAATTGGAGATCATTTTTCTTCAGATGTTTTACAGCTGCAAAGAATTTAAAGAAGAACTCAGGGATAGGCAAAAAAAATCACCAAATATTACACCCCTACACAAAACACTAAACAGTTAATCAAATTTTGAAAATCCTTACCATTTAGGAAAAAACTCCAATTGAATCTTAATGACCTCATCTCTGTAATTCAAAAGATAACAGCATCTGCTTTGCCCAGGAAAGCAGGGATTACATCGTTTACTCTCCTCTCTCCCTCTGTAGTAAAAGGAAACTACAGTTCCCATTATCCACAAGGAATTGTAGTGAATGTGAGCATGTACACTAGGCCTGTATATGTTGAATGTGTTTAAGAGTCTAGGTCCGCCCACCACTGCAAGTGGGGCTGAATTACATTACTGCTTCCTGGAAAAAAAACTACAAAAGGGATGTGCCAAAACCAGTAGCTAGGGGAATAAGAGGCATAGCAGCCACTGGTCTTACAAAGAGGAAACCAAGGAGAATTAATGGTTTAAAATGAAAATGATTAGGCTACTTCAGAGCAACTACTGAATGAACCAGAAGGTGGATGACATATTCAGTGAAGGTAGGAAATCAGCAACATGGAAATGTAAAGAAGTTTTTGCCCTGAATTCTGCTTTAAGTTTTCTGTATAACTGGAATATTTATTGGGTTCAACATTACTATGACTACAGTGCTGGCTAGAGAATTCTGTTCCATTTACCAATGTGCAGTTTTACAAATCCACACATTAAGAGTAAGCTACTTATGCCTTCAGAAAACACATCCAAAAAGCAATGAATACTCAATTTATACTTCACAGTTTTACAACTTGTAAGTAATGCAAATCAACATCAGAAAAAATACATACTGCATCACCCACATCTCAAATAAACTATGGTCACTGTATAAAGATTCTGAAATCTTGTCAATAGGCTATTCTCATGCTGGCCACAAGTGTAATTGAAGGGGCAATTATTAGGAATGCAGTACAGGGTTCAGCTACCATTACAAAATGCAAGTTACTACATTGATAGCTCAATGTTAAAGAGGATCTTCACCATAGAAAGAAAAAGTTTGAAGTCAGCAGCTACAAGTACTGTAGCTGCTGACATTTAACAAAAGGACACTTTACCTGTCCAGGGATCAAGAACTGTCCTCACCCAGGCTGGTTCTTCACCAGTCTTTGAGTCCCCAACATGTTTACTGTGGGAAACCAGCTGAGAAGTCACAGCTGGTTTCCTACTGTGCACTCACAAGCCATGCTTCACTTTGTGAATTGCCCCACGACCTTATGGGACCTGTGACATATCCCAGAAGGCTGTGGGCAAAGGGGGGGGGGCAACCTATCATAACTAGGTACCCTCTCCCCCCCAAAAATATAATGTGCCAAATGTGAGAGAGAAGGTGGGAAGTAGGACATAAAGTGGAATTTTCCCTTAAGAGTGCAGTTCCGTTTTATTTATAGTGAGCTGTGGAAGGGAGCATACACATTTTTCCTAATGCTTTGCAGCTATATTCCTTCTTAGAGCTATTTTTTAATCATGAATTAAATAAAACTATGCTAGCAAGGTGTCAATTTTTGTGCTGTGCTTTGGAGCCTTGGCTTGCTGTTATCTTCTGGCAAGACCCTATCTGCACTGGGAAGATGTAGATATATATTTTTTTTTTCACTTTGCACATTGTAGTCATGATTTTAAAATCTTGGTCTTGGAATGAAAACTGTGAATTCCTCATGGAAAGACATCTATTCTGCTTTTTTACAATGCTTTGCATGGTCTTATCATATTTAAACATTTAAATTACAAAGATTTATGTCCAGAGTAGTTTTAATCTTCTTAACAGGCAGATGTCAAGCTCCAAATAGCAAAATTATTTGGACATTATGAAAAGGTCTGTCTATTTATCCACAGATAACATGTTTGACAATTAAATGTACTCTTGTCAATGCAGTTAAACGTGTATTAAAATGCTTGCTATTGTTAACCTTGTGAGGCCAATTAACATGACAGTTTTTGTCTCTAATGTCAGACTGAATCATTTATTCTGTTTTTGGTGTTTTGTGAGATTCTATAATTTTATCCTGGAATTGTAAAGTTGAAAAATTTCACTGTGTGACTTTTAAACTTAGTTCATATAAGCAATGTGTTACAATAGATAATCAATTATTAATAAGTAAAACATACAATACTGCATGTATTTAGAATATAATGTAGTTTTGAAAAACTGGGGGTCATTCATGGCTGCACCACCTATTAAGAGGATTAGCTATACTTGATCTCCAAAATGGTAGAGAAAAATGCCAAACGCCAATGGGTCTAACCATTAATATACTGGGAGTAGGGAATGATAGAAAAATTATTGGGTAAAGCTGGGTGTTAATTGGGCAAATCTCTAACAGGTGCAGAATTGAATAAAATACTTTTCCTATTACTGTTGGCTCTCTCATCTCTTAAAAGTACAAAACCTTTACAAGTTGAGGAACTTGAAAAGGAGAAAGCATTTAATTTATGTAGTTTTATTAGATCTAAGGACAAAAGTGTGGGGACAGTAGAAACAGAAGAGAGGAGAATGAAAGATAAGTACAGCTGAGCAGAAGAATGAGACAGAAGCACTAGAAGCAAAGCATAAAACAATATACGGTAAAATAATAGACGTGAAAACATTTAACAATGATAATAATTGCAAAAAAAAAAAAAATAGTCTGTACTCAAATAGTCCTTGCTCAAAATTCACAAAAGGCTAATGAATGAAACAATCAACTGTTGAGTTCAAAAATAAATTGCATGACACCTCACTAGGTCAAGGATGTGCTCGCACCTTATAGTTTGACCCCACTACAAATGTTAAACTAGCATACTCAGATGGATATCTCCAAAAGAGTCCCTCTAGAATACTTCCAAAAGGAATGGATACACTTTTCCTCAACTTTTAAAAATCACTTAGCATCAAAAGGGTTAAACAGCCAACCAACTGTGGACACAACCTCCTCACAGCTCTGGATAGCAAGCAGCTCAAAAGGAAAAACACTTCAATGTGTGCACTGTTAATAATTTTTTATTATGCTATCAAAGTGTTAAAATGTGCTCACAATTAAACACTGGAATGTAAACATCAATGATACTGTGAAGACCCAGTACTGCTGCTAGTCTAGGATCATTCTCACATAAGAAAGCTATTCAAGTTTTGGTGACATTACAGCTAGAGATGAGCGAATTATTCAAAAATTTGATTCGGCTGATTCGCCGAATTCGCGGAATAAATTTGATTTGAGGCGAATATATTCGCTGCGAATTTAACATATAAAAAGGGTGTTTCTAGGCTTCAGAGAGCCTTTATATTAGTGCAGAACACTGTACCTTTAATTTAAATGCCCTTGGAGTCTGCTGGGGAAGAGAAATAATACTGTCAGTCAGTATGACATGCAGATGAGTGCCGTCGATCTTAGAATCACCACACACTTCACTCATTTGGGCAGTCACGGGGCCAAAACCAGAGTGTGGAGCCACAGTGTGGCGGTGGAGGCAGCAGCAATGGGAGGCCATACAGCACCCTATGACAAAATGGAACCCACCAGCAGTGTGAGGAGGAGACCTGAAAGTGGCACATGGCAGAGTGTGGCGATGGAGACAGCAGCAATGGGAGGCCGTACAGGGACCCATGACACACTCTGGACCTGGCAGCAGCATGAGGAGGCGGTACAGGGGCCCATGACAGATTACGGGCCGGGCAGCAGCAGCATGAGGAGTCGGTACGGGGGCCCATGGCAGATTACGGGCCTGGCAGCAGCATGAGGAGGCAGTACAGGGGCCCATGGCAGAGTGGCGGAGCGTAAGCAGCTAAAATTGAAGGCCATACAGAGGCCTATGTTAAAAAGTCCCCCCAGCAGCAGCGTGGGGAGACGACTATCAAGAGTCCAATGGCAGAGTGGCGGAGCAGAAGCAGCTTCAATTGAAAGCCATACACAGGCCTAGGTTTAAAATTCCCTCACAGTTAATTCCAATAACAAACTCTACTCCTCCGTGCAATCTACTTACGAGACCCTGGGCAGGTCTGGGTCCAATTTGTGGTAGAGACTGGTTTTGTTCAGCCATGCTTGAGCAAGTAATAACAGGTCTGTGCTGCCCTTTGGTGTCTGGCTTAATGCGCACAACACTGAACGTCCCAGCGTTTGTCAACGATTTGCCGTTAAGTGATGCAAACCCGCTGAACCACGTTCATGAGGAGCCGGTACAGGGGGCCATGAATCAGTATGGACCTGCAGCAGCGTGAGCAGACGACAGAGGCACATGGCGCAGGGTGGCGGTGTAGGCAGCATTATTCTGAAGCCATACACAGGACCTAGGTTAAAAAGCGGAAGCCGTCAGCAGCGTGAGCAGACGACAGAGACACATGGCGCAGGGTGGCGGATGATGCAGCAGTATTCGGAAGCCAAACACAGGCCTCGGTTAAAAAGCGGAAGCCGTCAGCAGCAGCGTGAGCAGACGACAGAGGCACATGGCGCAGGGTGGCGGTGGAGGCAGCAGCAATGGAAGGCCATACAGAACCCTATCACAAAATGGAACCCACCAACAGTGTAAGGAGACCTGAAAGTGGCACATGGCAGAGTCTGGCGATGAAGTCAGCAGCAATGGGAGGCCGTACAGGGACCCATGACACACTCTGGACCTGGCAGCAGCAAGAGGAGGCGGTACAGGGGCCCATGGCAGAGTGGCGAAGCGTAAGCAGCTTAAATTGAAGGCCATACAGAGGCCTATGTTAAAAATAATAACATGTTTGGGGCATGATTCATGGCGGATTTAGTCAGTTGTGTCAGGAACTGGTGGTTTGAAATCCAGACTAATCCACGCCTGATTCATTTTCACAAACGTGAGTCTCTCCACACTTTGGGTGGACAGTCGTGTCCTCCGCGGAGTTACAATACCTCCTGCCGCACTAAACACGCGCTCCGATGCCACGCTACTGGCCGGGCATGACAGCCTTTCAAGGGCAAATTCAGCTAGTTGGGGCCAAAGGTCAAGTTTCGTTGCCCAGTAGTCAAGGGGATTGTCTACCTCGGTTGGCAGGGTGCTGTCCAAGTAGGCCCAAGCCTGTTGTTTGAGGTCCTGCTCCAGGTCCACCTAATGCTGCTGCTGCTGCGGCTGGTTAGTAGTTTCCTCACTGCGCTGGTGAAGAAAGCTACTCATCATCGACTGCAGACTGAGGCAGCCGCTGCTGGTGGAGCTGCCACTGCTCCTACCACCCCACCCCTCCCCTGCTGCCATGGCAGCGGAACGCGAGCGCACAGGGCCCACAGTGTCTGAGGATGGACGTTGGCGCAGAAAGGCAGAGACCAACTGACTACATAGGTGGTTTTTATAGTACTTTATTTTGGCCTCCCTCTCAGCAGGTGTGAAAAAGGCCACCATTTTTGAACGGTAGCGAGGGTCCAACAAGGTGGACAGCCAAAAGTCATCCCTCTGTCTGATGGTTATTATTCGGCTGTCGCTACGCAAGCAACCGAGCATGCTATGGGCCATTTGTGCCAAGGAATGCGAGGGACTCCCTGCCTCCATCTCCACAGCATACTGCCACGGTGCGTCTGGGTCCTCTGTCTCTCCTCCTCCTCCTCTACCAGATGCTCCTGCTCCTCCACTCCTGTCCGCTGAGTGGAAAAACCACCCATTTCACTCAATAATTCCTGAGCACCAATGTCCTCCTCTACCTCCTCCTCTTCTTCCTGTCCTGCCCCCACAGGGGTCATGTGGCGTTGAGATCTGTGCGCCACGTCTACCGCACCCTGACCAGCCATTGTTAACAGCATTTGTTCCAGGACGTGCAACAGAGGAATGACGTCGTTCATCCCATAGTCCTGCCGACTCACGAATAGCGTGGCCTCCTCAAAGGGCCTGAGCAAGCGGCAGGTGTCACGCATGAGCTGCCAATGGCTGACATCTAAGTTACACAGGGGAGTACCTTTATCCGCTTGTAACATCAGGAAATCGGTGATGGCCTTTCGCTGTTCGTAAAGGCGGTCTAACATATGTAGGGTTGAATTCCACCTTGTTGCAACGTCGCAGATCAGGCGATGCTGTGGAATTCCGTTCTGCCGCTGCAGCTCAAGGAGGGTGTGCTTTGCGGTGTAGGAATGGCTGAAATGCATGCAAAGTTTACGTGACATTTTAAGGATGTCTTGCAGTGGGATGGTGGATTTTAGGAACCGCTTGACAACCAGATTGAACACGTGAGCCATGCATGGCGCATGGCACAACCTTCCTTGACGCAGAGCAGACACCATGTTCTTTCCGTTGTCGGTCAACATGGTTCCGATTTTCAGTTTGCGCGGAGACAGCCATCTGTCGATTTCTCTGTTCATTACACTCAGAAGTTCCTCCCCTGTGTGACTACGTTCGCCAAGGCATACCAGGTGCAGCACAGCGTGACACCGTTGCGCCCTGCACATGTGATATGCCGGTCGGGTAATGGGACTTGGCACGGGGGTGGCGGCTGAGGACACGGCGGAAGAAGAGGTGGTAGAGGCGGACATCTTTGCTGGACCAAGGACGTGCAAACGTGGAGGCAAAAGCGGCGTGACCTGTCCAAGTTGCTGGTGCGGCTGTGCCGGCACCACGTTCACCCAGTGGGCCGTAAATGACATGTACTGTCCCTGACCGTAGTTACAGCTCCACACGTCGGCGCTGCCGTGCACTTTGGCAGAGAGACCGACATGCTCAAAGACTGGCCCACCATCTCTTCTACATGTGAATGCAGGGCTGGCACTGCCTTTTTGGCGAAGAAATGCCGGCTTGGCACTCTCCACCGCGGCTCGGCACAAGCCATCATTTCTCGGAAAGGTGCTGAGTCCACCACTTGGAAAGGGAGGGACTGCAGCACCAGCAACTTGGACAGGAGGACGTTCAGCTTCTGCACCGTCGGGTGCGTGCTCGCAAACTGTTGTCTCTTGGAAACGGATTCCAAGAAAGACTGCTGACGGAATCCGTGAAGAGGAGTAGCAGGAGAAGGAGCATCTGAACGAGCGGAAGATGCCAACGAGCGACAACTCCCCTCAGCAGAGGTGTTGGAGCCTTGACTGGCTGATAGAGGGCGATTGACGTCGGGTGACGGAGCAAGTAACGGAGCGGGTGATGGAGCGGGGGCTGGGGCAGGCAGAACCGCCGTATCTTTATCACGGTTTTCCCAGGCCACCGAATGGCGACGCTGCATATGCTGACGCAACGCTGTAGTCCCAACATGGGCCCCCTGGCCACGCTTGACTTTCTGGCCACATAGTCGACATACGGCTACGTTTACTTCCTCGGGCGGCTTGACGAAAAATTGCCACACCGCCGAGTAGGAAACTTTGCCCCCGCTACTCCTCACTGGCTGACTGCTACTTCCTCCGTGCACACCGGCACCACTACTGGCCGTGGTGGTAGGCTGCAGTGGAGCTGGTGCTCTACTCCGTGGCCGTTTGCCTCCACTGACACTGCTGCGACCCTGCTGCCTCCTGGGCAACCCACCGACTGTTTTGCTCGCTGGCAAGCTGGCACCCTCTTCTCCTGATGATGCGGAAGCAATAGCCTGATGACGACGAGGCTGCCAAGTGCGATCAGCCTCATCATCATCAATTAGGGTCTCCGCGTCACTACTAGCCCCCTCGGCTGCGTGTGGGTCAGGAGACAGACCTGTCTCTAGACCGGCTACCGAGCCACTCTCCTCGCCAGTACTTCTTCGCCTGGCTGCTGAAGAGGCGGATGTCTCCCCCCGTTCCTGACCGCCCTCTGTTAGCTCTTCCTCACTGTACAGTGGGGCTGAGCCCACAGCATGCGATACTTCGCTTGGTGAGGGAACACCAAAGGACAGGGGCAGGTAGAGGACACGTGATTTCAGTGGGCTTGCTCCCGGGCCATGCCAACTAACGGTTGTGTCTGACGTACCCACCGACCGTTGGCTGTAGGTGTCAGAGGTGACCTGGGAAGAGGAAGACGACCGAGTCAACCAATCGATGACGGCAGGGTTGTCGGTGGAGACACGACCGCTGGATGACACCGGGAGCACTGGCCTCTGGCTGCGACTAGTGCTGCCTCGACCCCTTCCTCTGCTGCCACGTCTGCTCGCTCCTGAAACATTGCCTCCTCTGCCACTCCTCTGCGTGTTGTCTGACATACTCTTTAATTCAATAGTGGTTGTGAAGCAGAAAGTAACGATTCTGTGTCCCTGAGTAACAATTCTGTGTCCCCGAGTAACGATTCTGTGTCCCCGAGTAACAATTCTGTGTCCCTGAGTATTCTGTGTCCCGAGTAACGATTCTGTGTCAGTAACGATTCTGTGTCCCTGAGTAACGATTCTGTGTCCCTGAGTAACGATTCTGTGTCCCTGAGTACACGATTCTGTGTCCCTGAGTAACGATTCTGTGTCCCTGAGTAACAATTCTGTGTGAGTAACCTGTGTCCCTGAGTAACGATTCTGTGTCCCTGAGTAACGATTCTGTGTCCCTGAGTAACAATTCTGTGTCCCTGAGTAACGATTCTGTGTCCCTGAGTAACAATTCTGTGTCCCTGAGTAACAATTCTGTGTCCCTGAGTAACGATTCTGTGTCCCTGAGTAACGATTCTGTGTCCCTGAGTAACGATTCTGTGTCCCTGAGTAACGATTCTGTGTCCCTGAGTAACGATTCTGTGTCCCTGAGTAACGATTCTGTGTCCCTGAGTAACAATTCTGTGTCCCTGAGTAACAATTCTGTGTCCCTGAGTAACGATTCTGTGTCCCTGAGTAACGATTCTGTGTCCCTGAGTAACGATTCTGTGTCCCTGAGTAACGATTCTGTGTCCCTGAGTAACAATTCTGTGTCCCTGAGTAACAATTCTGTGTCCCTGAGTAACAATTCTGTGTCCCTGTAACAATTCTGTGTCCCTGAGTAACGATTCTGTGTCCCTGAGTAACAATTCTGTGTCCCTGAGTAACAATTCTGTGTCCCTGAGTAACGATTCTGTGTCCCTGAGTAACGATTCTGTGTAACAATTCCCTAAAGTCTCTCTGGCCCTAACTCTGTCCCCAATACAGACAGGTCTGTCTCTCTTGAATGACCGGAGGCTAATGGAGAATTGTAAGATGGCCGCAATTTATAGCTCCACCATTACACAGTGCTGGCTGGCTGGCTGCTGATTGGCTAATGCGATCACATGTCATGAATGAATGCATTATGGGTCAGCGCGCCTTGTCTGCGCGCCTTCCCAGAGATCCCTGCTCCGTCGCCACACATGTCGCCGCCATTTTTGGGAAAATTCGATTCGTGCATCCGAAGTTTGCTAATTTTCGGATTCGGCGCGAATCGAATTTTTCCTGATCTTCGAAACGAATTCCACTTCGCCATGTTCGATTCGCTCATCTCTAATTACAGCATTCCAGTGGAGCTGATTATTTCACTCATTTGCCTATTGTGAATTTTGAGACTGGCCTATTTGAGTACCAGCTATTTGATTTTTTTCACAATATTATCATTGTTAAATTTTTTTCACATGTTTTATTTTCACTGTTTAATTGTAAAACTGCTTGATAATGAAGAAATGTAATAAGCATTGCCATGTGTGCAGCTTAAAACTTTGAGAACTGGTGCAGAGGTTTTCATTGATTCAATAAGCAAAGCACAGGAAAAAGGTACAGAAGAGCATATAAATGAGAGAAAGAAACACAAAAGATGGATAACATTCCCATGGAGAAAAAGTTACCAATCCTAGAATAACAAATAAAGAACAGAGGGGAAGGATGAAGAGGAGAAGTGACACCTGACCTTCATTTGGAGTGAGAA